AAGTGAAAATGATTTCACTGCACACTTCAAACAGCGCTTGTCTGTCCTTCAAGTAAACACTTCCAGCCCAGGGAACACTATTCTCATGGCTGCTTCATCACCATCACAGTACCTGAATGCCCTGTGGCAGCCCTGTTCTTACCTCTAAACATCCCCATTTGTTGCCATTTGACAATGCTCTATTGTGACACCCTCCCACCTCTTTTGCCCGAGACCATGAACATGTAGGTCAGGTCGGGTCTGGTGAAGGCGGAGGTACGGGCCCCTTTACTGCAGGTGTGCTCCCTCCCCCTTTCACTCTGGTGTTTTGCCAAGAAATCGGGGCCCTGCTCTGACATTTTAGTGCTTTTCAACTGACAGAAAGAACCCACAGCACCCAAGACTGTTGTGGTTTGGTAGCAGAGCCAGGCAGATCAGATTGCAGGAAAAGAATGGGAGGGGGGGGAAAACCAGGCTCTGGGATCAACTTCATCTTAAGAGAGGTTTTTAAGGGAAAATATTGGGTCCTTTGTCAGCAACCCAGATGGTGTTTCCTCTTGTTTTTGGTAGTTTTAAAAAGGCAAGCTAAGAACTGCACATCTTTCTAAAAACCTGTGGTCTATGAACAGAACATTTGACACGCAGGTCTTCATGAACTGTTCATGTTTAGGTCAAATCCAGAACCATCTTTTGGGGGGGGTGTTCTTGGAGGGGACAAATTTTTTCATGTAAGCTTTAATGGCCTTGTGTGAGGGGTAATGCTACATTTAGAGGCTTTTTTTCCCATGCTAATGGAAGGAGGAGAAATTCAACAGACAAATAAACTGCCCATCTTTCACTACTTCCTACATACTAGTCAATGAAAAGGAAAAGCAGTAGTTTTGTACATGTATGAATAGGTGAATACATGCACGTGTACATGTATGTGACAACACTTCAACTATATGTGTGAAAACACTTCTATAAGTTTTTCCAAAGATCTCTTGCTGTGTAAAAGCCTGAATGCAGCATGACTTGACTGACATGATTAATTGCAACTTTCAGGGCATGGGTTAAAACTTTTGCAGAGGTTGTGTGCAAGTAATTTACATCAGATACAAAACACAGGTATGTCTTCCACTGTCCTAATGACAAGCACCAGTGTAATTGTTTGATCTTAATTGCTTTGTCAATTTCTTGGGCTTGAAAGAAGAATTCAATGGACACAGACAAATCCTAGATTCTGAACCTTTGAAGCTACCAGGGCGTATAGAATACAATAATTAATCCCTTATATGCCGTAAAAAACAAGTACTTAATTTGACACGAAATATTTTCAGTTCAAACATTCAAGTCTTGTGGTTTTTCTCAAATAAAAAATGAGAGATATTCAGAACTAATCCTCCTCAGCTTTTCAACACTGAAGCACAACACGTAAAACTTGTTTGTCAGAATGAAAAAAAATTAAAAACCGTCACAACAAGCACAGACACATATATGGGAATACCGCATGTACTAGTACACGTAGATGCATGTATTTCATATTAAATACTGAAACGTGCCCATTACTAGTGTCGGTAAGTCTTTGAAAACATTCAAAGACAGGTGGAAAAGTCACTTTTTATTTTACTACATGAACATCAACTATATTTGTGAAACACATAGAACGGAACACATAAATGCCTTCTGTGGAGTTGTTCATGTGAAACCCTCCTGCCTTGACTTCCATCATCCTTTAGATGTCTGGCATTTTGCCTCTCTTGCCTTTTCCCTCTCGAGGACCCGTACCCTTTTTTCTGGTAGCCTCATCATTATACAGTTGCCCACCACAAGGGAGATGGTGGCTTAAGTCCATCTTATGGCTTTCTCCAGGCATCTCCCGCGAGGATGCCAGCCCGAGCCCGAGTAATGGAGCACTGTGACTTCACAGGTGCAGGCGGCGCGGCCAGACAAGGCTAAGGGGGTTCTCTTTTTCTTTCAGATTGTCTACAGGCCACACTGGTACAGTTTCTGGGCAGAAATGAGGCTAGGTAATTGCTGGCACTGATGCAGACTCAGGAGGAGGATTTGGGGCAACTGTTCTGGATGAGGTGGGGGGGGAGAAGAGAAGGGAGAGATGTGTGGAAGAAGACGTGTTGCTGAATAAAGGGTAACGACCAAGATGACAAGCACATCTAGCCTGTCCCAGTTGTGTCGAGCAGTCTTACTGCCCTAAATAAATGTGAACACACGTAGCACTGAATGCATTGTTTGAACGGAGAATTATGGATCTTATAAGGAGTACATCGTATCTCAACACTAGAGCCAATGATATTCATTTACCACTGGACGTATGTACATACATGTGTACACAGACAAGGAAATTTGTGAGCATGTAATAGTTGAATAGAAATGACTTAATGATGAAGTTTCCAATGTAATCACGGACGGCCTTTTCCAAAAAGCAAGATCCTACTAGAAGAAACTATGTGTGCAAGTCGGCATACGGTCAAACTAATAGGGCAGGCCTTTCGCCTGTTCCAGAACCTGACCTCGGATATGCTTCTTTTCGGACACGTGCTGTAGGCATATACCAAACTGGATCAATGCCACAAAATACACGAACAAAATATTGCGACACATCAACCGGGGCCAAGATAAGGACAGTGCAAAACACGGCAATAAGCCAATTTTGCATTTCAAAAAGATAAATGTCATTTGAGAACACACTACCTGACATCATGCCAGTTCAAACACGTTCAGTGCCCGAGTCAGCACATGGCTGGACTCATAGGGCTAACCTCACATGTGATATCGATGCTTTAGAATGACCTACCAGTACGATACACTTCATCATCGGTCCCGTGACAAGGGAACCATCTTCAAAGGCCATTATCCTATCAGAATGAGAGCTACCCTGATTATGAGCAGAGATGAGTTGTAGATAAAAATATCAGCAACATTATGTAGAAAATGCATTCATGCATGCACATGTATGTCACATAACGTTAACCCTAACCATTCTGAATCCAACAAGGTTATGCGGGATTTCAATGGTCCCTAGGGGGTTAGGGTTCGCCCTAACCATGCTGAACCCAACAAGGTTATGCAGGTTTTCAATAGTCCCTAGGGGTTTAGGGTTTTTAAAGGTGCACTCTTCACAGGCCAATATCAGCAGAACAATTGTACACTATATCCATTCAACTCGTCACACATTGAAAGCAGGACAGGGACATCATAGACACAGATGAAATGATAGCAATATTACATTGATGTCTTAATGCATCAAGTGACATGACCCTGATGATCCACTTTCACATGCCAATATCGGCAGTACTACGGGTAAAAATCTGCTACGTAAAAGTGCATGCAGTGGCAGTGTTATGTTGATGGGCCAAGTGCCATGTGACATGACCTTGATGGTGAAACTGAAAAAACAGTGCCCTTAGTTGTCAAGAAAAGTATGGACAATTTTCAATGTTAAAAATGTAGGCTTTTTTCAAAACTCAAAAACCAAAAGAAATAATTGTTTGAATGCACTGTACACACAAGAAAAGTATACAGTTACACAAAATTTAAGGAAACTTCATCACTTGAATCCTTTCCACGTGATACAAAATAGAGTAGAAAGGGCCAACATCATCAGGGAAACAGTATGAACATGACGATAACTTAAAGTTACTGATTTTGCCATCCTCCATGTGCATGCGCATGGAGGCGAATACTGAATAGACCATATTCGTGGCGTCCCCAATTTCAGTCGTATTCCCCAACGTAGTGTATTTACCGGAAAACGTTAAATTCAAAGAACCAGACTATATTCTACGATTTCATTCCGACCCCCAAAACCACCTGGTACTATCCCATTACAGCTTTGAAATTTATACTGTGCATTCAGGAATACGACTGAAATTGGGGGCGCCACGAATACAGTCCATTGAAGTCATGTAGTGATTTCTGTTTTCACAGAAAAATAATTTTCCATTTTGATGTCAAAACTGACGGATGAATTTCATTCTGTTCAGTTTTGACTCCGAATGCTCAGTCGCATGTGTAAAATGGTTTGGGAGTTTAAAAACTTGCCTGGAATTTTTAATCACTGGAGAAATACTGCTTAACGTCACTGGCCCCTTTACTGTATTTTGTGTTGTATGTCAGAGCATGAAATTACAACCAGATTTCTTCCATTTTCTGTCTATTTTTGGTATCTGTCCAACCAAAAACATAGGTGATCCAAAAAAAAATCTGAGGGAAATGTAAAAGGTAAAAAGGCCTGAAGGATACTTTTGTTCTCTAAATGGCAATTAAACTAAAAGTGTGTGTTTTCATGTGGCAAAATCCTTTCAAAAGCTGGTAATGGCAAAATGAAATTGTTTTGCCCAATCACTTTTTTGGCATAATTTCAAGATGCAAAACTGCCAAAAGGATGTGTTCTATTTCCGGTGTGACACTGAAACCACTAAACTGAATTACTCTCTAACATGTACTTTTTTCAAACGTCCAAGCAACTTGAGGGAAAACAAACTTTCTTCAGGAGATAGGCTTCAAAAATCAAGGTTCAGTTATTTTGGATTCACTTAAAATTCATCAGAAACAAAAGAAAAGGATTGGTTTCTCATTCTATGATTAAGTAGCTGCCAACTTTACCTCTGGGTAATCTTATTTTGTCCAAAGTCCGCCCAATTGTGCAGATTTCAAGTAAATATGCAGACAATATTGTACTTCCACCGACTCTTATCTGTCTCGTATCTCTACCTGAAAGGGTCACATCACATTTATCTGGTCAGACATTTCTGTTGTTTGCTTTAGTTCGTAGGCTCTGTCATTGGGTACACACATTTTTTGTGAGCAATGTTTATTGTGACTACCAACTTCAATATGAGCCCGTTTTAATAAACTGAGTGAGTAAATTATAACTGTAATACATGTGTGCCAGGCTGGTCAGTGGTTTCATCCACCAACGGACCGTAAAACGGTGTCACAAATGAAAGCTTTAATTGGCCAGTGAATGAGGTTCACTGATGTTGAATGGCGGAGCTGGCATTTTCTTGACGTCCACTCACCTATTTCCATACGCTTGTGTGATTTGGGCCATCTTGGCTGTCGATTCCTCTCTGCGTCCAAGCACCGCTCACTGCAAGGTCTGGGCACTTTGGTCTCTATCCTGGAGTCCATTTGAATCATTGTGTTGCCCTTCTTGGGGGAGTCAACAGCCGGAGGCCGGGGTACGGCCATCTCTGTTGAGGACAGCAGCGAGTACTGTTGTCTCGCTCTGACTACTTGGAGTTCGTCCTCTTGTTGCTGTTGTGCTAGAATTGAATCAGTGGTCTCGCGGATGACCGGCTGGCTACAGCTGACTTCCGGTACACTTTTAGTGCTCCATGGTGACTGGGTGGGCCTGTGCACTGTAGCTCTATTATCCAAAGACATGAGCCCGTTGTCCCTTTGGTATTGTCTGGGTGGGGTGAAACAACGTTCCCTTGGGAACCTGTCACTTTTCTCCCTGTGGTCGTCAGTGCTTGACAGCTGCCGAGCCTTCTTCCCCGGAGAGGGTTCCTGCACTTCTGCACTCTGGCGCTTGGACATCCTATCGCCTCAGTGCCGTGGGGCCCTGGCCGATGAAAAAATAAGAAAAAAAGAAACCCCAGTTTGTCAAATGCCCGGCCTGAAACACTATCCAGCCTTCTTACTGAGATTGACGTGCATCCAAACACTTACCAGAGAAACTTAATCCTTGGGGCATATGGAACCCAATTAATACACAGGTCACCCAACAGTCTCTTATCTGGGTTGGAACTTTCCACACCCCACATTCAATAACACAACAACACCACAACAGTGAACTTAAATCTCTTATACAAGCTCAATCAGAGCTAACCTTCAAGAGCTCAGTACACGTTCATAAGTACAGGCCAAATTACACTCACAGGGGTCATGTGCTAAATCCCCACATTTTTCAGTTGGTCTTTGTCCAGAAACACATCTTTCATCACTGCTAGGGTTGATTGTAAGGCTTTCTGCTGATACCAAACACCAGCAATTCAACCCAGATCTCCAGTCCTGAGCTCTCTCTATATTACCTATGGGATCTATCAGTTGCAAATGTAATATATCCTTTTCCTTCTAGATTCCGCACATCTGTAGATTTTTGAAGTACTCTCCCTAATCTAACTTTTCTACCTCTCAACCTTGATCTTCCACATTAACTTCCACATTCAACTTTCATTCTTAGAGCAATCATTAACGACTTACCGTAGTGAAAGAATGTCACAAATGGTGACCTATCTGTTGTAGGGGTGGCACACAACCTTCAATCCTTCTTCCAAGCCCTCAATTTCCCCAGCAACAAATTCTAATCACAGAGACACTAGCCATGGACCCATTTTGGAGTAGGACAAATAGGAGAGACTGGTGCTCCTTGTTGAGCTCAGAATGGCTTGCCTGTGTTTACAGCAGTTAGCCCCAAGGCTTGGGTGACTTGGTCAAAACCATCTGCCTGTGCTATCCCCTAAAACTCTTCCTTCGACACAGCAGCACGTGCTCAACACACACACACAGAGGAGAGAAAAAAAAAACCAGCACAGGGTCCACGGTCCCAGGAAAAGAGAACTGCACAAAAGGTACATTACAACCCACTTATGCAAATGGTTTCAAAATATCCACAGCCAATCAATAACTGTCAGACCGATGATGAAATTAACGTGGCCAGAGCCTACATGTACATATTACATACAAGGGCTTTCCCTCAGCATGCATAAAAGCGTGATTAAATCAAGATCAAGGCCTCTCGCATATTTATACTGCACAATTAAATGCAAAGTCGGTCAACCATACTGCATCTGGGTCTGAGCTGTTATGTTCAGCAGTTGTCTGAAAACAGAACGGGTACATGTGCTGTGTTGCCATCAACAAGCACCCCATCGGAAATGGAACAGTCTTTGTGACATTGCTTCGCACAGATGTTCCACTGGGTGTTGTGGGGGGGGGGAGACGTTGCAGTTTGCTGGTTGAGAACAGCCTGCCAATCATCCGGTTTGGTGATATTTTATCCTGAACTGTAGGAGGGACAACTATCCTTCCCCCATGTACATGTACATTTAATTCAATTTGTATACAGATCACATGTGCTCGTATAGTCACTTACAGACTATTATAAAACTGTTTCCCATCTCTACCGCTTTGGTTTGGCGGATGAGCTGTACCATGCAGGTACCAAGCACACCAGCAATCTATTTGCCAGAAGAAAAATCTTGTTTAAGTCCAAACTGTCGAAATGGGAAACAAATTATAACATCGACATTAGTTTCTCAAACAAATTCTTCAACCCCCCCAAGTCATTAACTAAACCGGAGACAAGTACCAGTACATATGTACAATGTATATTCAATATGGAAACACAAGTTACTGGGCTCATTCTCAGGTCTAGACTAAGTCAAGTCCTTTGGGGGGGGGGACTTGTGACTCGGCTTAGCTTATGGCCTTTCGTACTACTGGTAGGTTTAGCTACAATTTTGAGGTTGAATCACGTGCACCATCAGTTGGACTCACATGGACTTTTCCATCAAAGCAGCACCTTGTTACAACGCACGATAAACAGATCCTCGCAATTTTCAACAGGAATGGATTTCAACAATGACAAGTTTTCTCCATCCTGTAGCATAGCTCATCAGTACTTGGTACATGTTTGTTCATGGAACCCTTTGGTGTATGTGAAATCATTTTGAAATCAGAGGATAGGGGTAAGGACCAGCTAACACCAGGTGGGTTTGTAAACCAACTGATGGGGGGGGAGTGTTCATTTTTCAACATTCCTCCCTCATTACTCGGTACTAGATTAACACAATCAGCCCAGTGAGAATAATATGCTTGCCCGTCATTTAGATGGACAAATCATCACCATATTCAGTTTTCAAGCTGTGTCATGTTGCCGCCACACAGTGCTCCAGGGAACTCCTAGGCTGCCACACTTCACTCACCACAGGCAGCCTATTAAGTATAGAATTTCATGTTTTGGAGTGGTCATTAATTCTGCGGGGCAACACCTTGACCTGGGGTGTGCAAGAGCCCTACATTACCATGTGGGCATTTGTTTCTCCTCAGAGAGGCCAGAAAAATGACTCGATAAATCATGTGATATGTAAAAATGACTTCTCCTTGATAAATGTGCCTTTGGTCTGACCTTACAGCAAGTAATGCACGACCTTTCAGTTTTACCGTTTCCAGACCCAAGTATTTTTAGTGGCGTTTTGTCCCTTGACAAGATGTAGTGCAAAAAAACAACACAGACAGTCAACATACAAAATCAAAATGGGTCAGGAACTTAGGTTGTGACTTGAATCAAAAAACTTTATGCACCATAATTTTGGGAGGAACTGCAGTGACAACCAAAAGCTATCCAGCACATGAATCAAGGACCATTTAGCCCTTGTCAACAACTGCTATGAGTGCCACTAACTCCAAATCAGTTTCCAAGACTGATTTAATTTTGGCCTTTCTGCTTAGTTTTTCATAAATGGGGATTTCAGTTTCACAGATTCTTGTTTCTGGAACCATTTTAGCCAGTGAAAAACTCAGTTATAAAAGACAGTGTTTTAAGAAACAATCTACATGTACATTAAACACAAATAAAACAGAAAATCTAACAAGAACCTATGGCTTTCACATTTTCTAAAAGGAAGAACTATCTTTTTAAAACAGCGCCCTCTTGTGTTGCAGAAGTTCAGGGATGATTACCACAGCAAACACACACAATGTCATCATTCACGACAGTGCTTTTTGGAGTCCAACAACATGTACAATGTACATACCAGTCGCTTTCACCAATCCTAAGAAAAACTGGACCTTTCACAAAATTAAACCGTTTTACAGATGTACATATATATACGATTATATACAAATCCCTGTAGTTTCCTGTAATTTTAATTTTTAAATTATTTGGTCATTAGTTTGAATATCCTATCAATTAGCAGAATGTATATTCTGAATGTCTGATTTAAAACTTTAAGTATGGAGGTTCAAGCGTTCATCCACATTATGATTTCTGCACTTCTACAGACAATCACAGACAATCACACAAACATAAAACAAAGGGAGACGTAAAAGGTCTCCTCTAAGTTTTAAGTATGGAGGTTCAAGCGTTTTGCACATTTCTGCACTTCTTTTACAGATAATCACAGACACATCAAACAAAGGGAGACGTAAGACATCTTCCCAAAGTAGGCAATAAGAAAGACATTTTTTAGATTCCTAATGCTGTCACCCTGACCAATATTTGGTAAAATATCAGTCCAAAATTCCCTCCCCCCCCGAGCGTGTAGTGTGGTGTGTGCCCCTTGAGGAGTTTTTCTTACCACTTTTCTAAGGTTGTTTATTTTGTGAATGATACATGTGCTTTCTTAAGTATTTCTTGACAAATACCATTAGGCATAACCATGCAAAGAACAGTACAAGAACCCAATGAGATCGTTCTTCAAAGCTAGTCTAGACAGCAATGGAAGCCAAGTGTCTGTCACTCTTTTTTTTTTGTCATAACTGGGAGGGGGTACTTATGGTGTGCGGAGTCTATTACACGTTCATGCAACATATGACGCAAGAGAAACCAAATGTGATATTTTTGAACAGATTACTACTGATGCTGAACTTCTCGCTAGTAGACCAATTACAGTTGTGTTTCCTGAGGCAGGAAAAAGGATTGTGGAGACGGTGATTGTGCGTCAGTTACCAGACCAGACTTATGTCCAGACCACGAGGTACATGTACGTCTAATTTCAATACGGAAGTTACATTTTCCTATTCTTGGCTGGTTTCCTGACGAAAACCAACTAAAAGAAAAAACTTAACTGGCAGCCTTCTCTAGATGATAGCCAAAGTGGATTGAAACTTGTCTGATAGCGGGGCGTTGTGGCATCTCTCACTTAACAGCACCATCTTTTAGTTACAAGTATATCTCGATCAAGGACTAACAGCATGCCATTAGGTCATGCCAGAAAGCAAACCATTATAAATTCATCATTAAAAGACACCTATTCTGGCACAATTGGATAAATAAGCCATGTTTGGGACAGGATTTTGTTCTTGTAGGTTAAGGTCATTGAATCTAAACCTCCCTGTTGACATAAAGTGCAATCACCAAATGGACTGTTTGAAGTGACTAAAGTTGATGAAATCCTTCCTACATATCTTTCAAGATGTGCCTTCACAAGCAATGTTATGAGGCAACAAGCACAATGCTACAAAAAGAGGAACATCAGATTGTGACACAACCAAGGAAAATAAACTATGTTTAACACCTTTCACTGAAAAGCAGACGAAGAGGGAGCCTGCTGTGGTGTGGAGACCAACACCCCGCTTAATTCCACCATCAAAATACATCACACACTCCTTTAAATCACACAAGTCAGTAGTCAGATAACAATCTCAAGTGTCAAGTCAACCACATCACAAACTAGTCTGTGAAAATTGCATGAATTGGCTAAAGATGAAGAATTCATACATCTACATTCGCACACAATCCTCAAAGCAAGCTGTGTAGATTTTTACAACTGCACAAAAAATGATAATTTCCTCCAGAACTAAAACAAAAGAAGATATTAGACGAAAAAAAAAGTCAAC